TCCACACAATGACAAAAAAATCTAACAATGAATTTCTTAGAACGTATCCCTGTCGTTAAGCAATGCATGACTGTAGTATAAAAGTTAAGCCTTACGAATGTGATTGGGATAGATGTACATTTGCCTCTCCTACAAAGGCAAAAATATGAACGCAGTTGAACGGAAACTGTATTTAATAATAAACAGAACTCATAGTTGGTCAGTAGTAAATTGGTTTTGATTTTTCCACCATGAAAATCATCTGTATGCTTTTTTTTTTTTTTTTTTTGCCAGTTATGATCTTTACATAAAGACCCCAGACTTGTTTTTGGATAGAAATTCCCTGAAAGTAGGAAATGCAGAGTTCCTTATTTTTGATAGTTGATTAGGGATTATATTAGAGGTTTTTTTTTTTATATATAGTAGTGTCTTTTATCCCACATAAGAATTTGAAGGCATCAGAATGTTTTAAAGAGCCTTGGCAAAAACAAAACTGGGTACAGTAAGGTTTACGCTTACACAGAGCAGTGATACTCAAAATTGGATTATAGGAGTATTGTCTACGGCTCTGCTAGACAATCTTGTGAAAAAGTTACTGGATAGTGTTCATCATCAAGGCATGCATCTTGTTTTGGGGGCTTTAGATTATATGTGAAAGCCTGCAAATGCTCACTTGAGAACAGATGCCAGAAACTAGCTCTGCAACATACAGCTAAGCTATGGACCTAGATATGCAATCTGGCCAACTTGGCAGTTTTCCTCCATAAATATTCAAATTTATACGAATCCAAGCCTAAGATCATTCATCCTTTGAGACTAAAGATCAAAGCTCATTTAAAAAACCTAAATATCCACCTGAGCATCCTGAACCAGACTCTCTCCCTGGGACCTAAAGACACCTAACATCATCCTGAACCTATCAAAGAACGAATTTTAACGTCTAATATTTGCTGGGACTCAGGTCGTCATGATTTGCCTGGTAATGAACAAGCAGACGTGACTGCTATTCAGACACACCTCAAGCCTGTTCTGAATGGGTATGTGATGAAATATGGCAAAGGTTAAGGGGACAATTGCATAAATAACAAACTGTGTGAAATTGCTCCATTTTTAATAACAGGAGGTTACAGTTGGTTTTAAAAACCATTGGGACCAGGTCGTCTATACAAGGTGTCATACTGGCCTTACTGGGCTGACCCACTTGTTTTTACTTTACCTACATGATCTGTAAGTAAAACTCCTTTATGTTAAGCACGTTTTATTATTTTGTCCTTCTTTTTGCCATAACGTATTTACCATTTTACTGACTTGTTAAAAGTGGCTTCAAGTCAAGCCAGTGGCGCTTTTAGATTTTTTTTAATCGAAAGCTAATCTTAAGCATTTTATTTAGATTGCTTTAATTTTGTAACATTTTATATTTATGAACTTTGTACGTTTTTGATTGTTCATTCTGTTCTACTGTCCATATGTTGTACTCTTGTCATGAATATAGCCGTAGTTCCTGGCATTGCGTTGAAAGTCAACATAACTAACTCTGTCTCAGTAGATGTCAATTTAGCGGCAAGATCTTGAACTAAAAACTTGGTGAAAAAACCAACTCAGGGTTGCCAAATCTCATGAATATGGTGTGACACACTCGCTTTCAGACTCTTATGCTCACGTAAAAAATCTTACGGCAAATCTGTATTTTGTTATAAACCTCAAATGCGCTAGATCAAAAGCATTGCGGTACTTTGCCAACCCTACAGGCTATTTACAAGAAAATGAAACGATACATGCGTGTACAGGGGTTGGACAATGAAATTGAAACACTGCCTCATATAGTGTTCGGGGTTTCACGCCTATATATGCACAACCTGGGGGCCAGTCTTCACTGATTGCACATTCCATCAGGAGAGAGTGTGAAGCTGGAATTCCCAGAGCAGTGGCACAGCTGTACATAAAGGTATTGCGATCCAAAAAACATCATGGGTGACCTAACAGTTCAAAAGAGGACAATAGCTGGTCTGCATCTCGCTGGCACATTTATGATCAGGGGAGCAAGTCTTTGTGGTGTATTGAGAGCCACGGTATCCCGGGTGATGTTGGCCCGCCACCACCACAAAGGACAGACCACATCCAGCAGGAGTTAACTGGGAATGCAAAAGGAATATGTATTAACCCGGGTTGTATCAAACCACAGCTGTCCAACTCACTGCAGAATTAAATGTGCATCTTGACCCTCCTGCTTCTACCAAAACTGTTCATCAGGAGCTCCACAGGGTCAGTATTCATGGTTGGGCTGGTATAGCCAAACCTTTGGTCGCTTGTGCCAATCCCATACATCAGTTTCAGTGGTGCCAACAGCACAAATCTTGGGCTTTGGAACGCATGTTGTTCTCTGATTCCACCATCACTGTCTGTCCCAGATCTGGGGGAGTTGCGGTATGGAGAAGCCCCAAAGAGGCTGTTGTGCACCCAGAATGCAGCAAGGGGTGCATCACTGATGGTCTGGGCTGGTATGTCATAAAATTTTCCTAGAACTGCTACTTGTTCTATATGGCCTGCATAGTCACAAGATCTGAATATTATTTAGCCACTTTGGAGTGTTTTGGAGGAGTGAGTCAGGAAACGTTTTCCTCCATCAGTATCACTTTATGTCCAGGCCATTCTTTAAGAGGAATGGCTCAAAATCCCCGTGGTTGTGTATCTGTCATTCCCAAGACAAATTGATGCTGTATTGGCCACAAAAGGAGGACCTACACCATACAAATAAATTACTGTGGTCCAAAACCAGGTATTCCAGTTTCATTGTCCAACCCCTGTAAAGGTGTGCGCAGACTTGTCTCGAATTGAAAATCTCACTTCAGCCAGCTGACTAAAGTTGGCAACTATGCAGACTTTTTATATGCTAAAAATATTGCATTTGTGTCACATGGTAAACGGCACACTGTCCATAGATAGGTCTGCTATACTCTCAGATATACTGTACAGTGTGCAGCATGGCTGATGAGGAAGAATTTCCAAGAAAGGTTGTGTGTTAATTGTGTGGAAATGGTTTATATTTGGAAATCCAGCGTGAATCGATCTACTGTAATTTGCAAACTTTGTAAAGATACTGTTGGTACAATAGGTCGCAACACAGCGAATCATCTTAACCACCTGAAACATTAGCGCCCATGAGTGAACACAGAATGTCTGACTATGTGCAGCGTCTCCCACCCATTCTGAAGTAACCAGACAAAAGCAAACGTTTTACTGATGCAAAAATTCAGTGTTGCATATATTATTTAGTTATTTTATTTATCCATTATTTGATTGTTGTAAACTGAGATCAGAAGTGTGCAGGTAACTAATGTGATAAATGTCCATTGTACACGAAACTTGGAAGTTTAATAGTGTGTAAAAGCACTTTTATATAACGAGTCAGTTTTAAAATATGTATTCTACCTACCTTAATAATTAGGTTTATTTTTATAATGCTTGAAGCAGTCTTTCTTGTAAGGTTGTTAAATAGTTAATTAGCATTGCCATGAACATTCCAAAATTATGATTTATATTGTGGATGGTGATTATAACCAGAAATGTTATGAGGCAATGGGAAACACGTCTGTTTATTTATGGGTTAATATTATTATTATTTTTCGTTTCGATATTTCTTTAGCTATATGTGAATGAGGCGGTCCGCTTACGTCTTAACTGCATAATTTACATCTTCCTCAGTCATTCGCTAAAACGTCTCTGGTTAGATGGTATGCTTTCTGGAGTTTTCTTAAGCACCTGATATTGGATGTACGCTTCAACGTTTATTGGGATTCCTAATTCTTTCATATACTTTTGTAGTAAATCGTCACCACGCCTTCCCAGGTCTTTGTAAAAATGATTAAATTTTTGTATATAATATAACTTGTGTTTTTGTGTTAAATGCATATATACACGTCACATTAAAAAATCGCATCTCAATCCCCCTTCTTTACCCATTGTGGCTCTTTGTAAATCTTGGGCCAGACATTTAGGAGAAAATGGCTCTTTGCTTTAAAAAGGTTGGCCACCTCTGGCCAAGGAAAATGCAGTCTGTTGATCCCTGGTATTATCTTGATGTGTATGTGTTTTTGCACAGGGGGAGTCTTCAGTGAAATGAGTGTCTTGCTTTTTTGTCTTCACTTAATACCAAAAAATGAAGCAAATTCACATACCATGGGCATCATAATATATTTACACGCACAATCCTGCTTTTGCCCTTCTGTGCGAGCTGCTCAGTAATCTTCACAAAATGTACTTTCATAGCATGATTACTGTGCACCGACTGGTGTTTAAGTGTGAAGAAAAGAACTCGGCATCTGTGTAGAACCTGGTAGTTAGAAAGCTTCTTCAAAAGCCTGCTAGGTTTCCATTTCAGTTGAATGCTGTGACGGAGGAATGTAATCTTCAGTGTTGAACTGAAAGAAGATAATTTATATATACTTGCTCCTCGTTTTACGACGGTTCAGTTAATGATATTTCGCCTTTACATTAGCAGTGCACATTCAGTAGTCAACTTTAAATATTCATTTGCTCCTGGGGTAATGATATGCTGTACAATACTGTACAATACTGTACAATACTGTACAATACTTCCTACTTATTCTAGGTGATGGCAGCAGCGATCACGAAAGTAAACAATTCATACAATGTTTAACATCGTATCGTAAGTTTTTTTTTTTTTTTTCTTTTATTCCCCCCCCCCTATTTATAACCAAATAAGCTTGAAGTAAATAAAAGAACACAATTACTGGTATTTGGTTAGTTGCTGTAATTATTCATTTACTTATTCCATGATGGTAGTTATTTACTAATTTGTCACATCATATTCTGCTTACAATATTTTCCACTTACAGTGGGTTCATTGGAATGAAACCAGAATCCCTTCTGTAGGAGTATTACCAGTTTCATTTGTGATACATGCTTAATGACCATGGCTCGCTCTCTCCCTCTCTCTCTCTCTCTCTCTCTCTCTCTCCCCCCCCCCCCCCCCCCCCCCCCCAATCCCGGCTCGGCTTCAGGGTTCCGACGACTGTCTGGTGAAGATCTGGGCGACTGACGATGGTCGGCTGCTAAACACGCTGCGCGGTCACGCTGCCGAGATCTCTGATATGGCCGTCAACTACGAGAACACCATGATCGCCTCGGGCAGCTGCGATAAAATGATCCGCGTTTGGTGCCTGCAAACCTGCGCGCCTTTGGCTGTGCTGGATGGCCATGGCGCTTCCATTACCTCCTTACAGGTAGGAGGCGCTGCTGTGGCATTCAGTTATTTAAATATATATTTGGGAGGGGGCTGGTTCGTGTCTTGAGGAGACGCAGGCAATGTTCAGGGTATGTTTATGCATAATGTTTTATTAAATGTTGTATGCTCGTGTGATTGCGCCACCTGGTGGTGCGGAGGATATATTGCAATTCTGTGGTCTCTCTTCCCAGTTCTCCCCGCTGTGCAATGGAGCCAGGAGGTACCTCTCCTCCACTGGGGCTGATGGGTCTATTTGCTTCTGGCAGTGGGACGCCAGGACGCTAAAGTTCAGGTCAGTGGCACTCCCGTTATTCACAGATGGATGTGTGAGCTGAGCCTGCACAGACTCCTCAGAGTTCCGTGGATGGCATACGATGGGGGTGAATCATGGTGAATCCCTGCAGGTCTAACCTGTATGGCAGCAAATGCTTCTCTGTGGTGTCTCCGAGGTTTGTGCAGTGGTGTGACAATGCCTCCCTGGAGCTAAATGTGGAGAAGACCAAGGACATGGTGGTGACCTTCTGTAGTAAACAGAGGGAGCTGTCGACAGGATCTATCAGCATAATCCACGGGCAGACAGTGGAGGTGGTGGAGGAGTACAAATATCTGGGCACTATCTTCGACTGCACCCTGAAGTTTGCCCCCAACACCGAGGACATTCTAAGGAGATGTCAGCAGGGGCAATATCTCCTCAGGAAGCTCAACAGCTTTGGGGTCAACAAGGTCATATTCGGAACCTTACTACTACTCCATTGAGAGTGTCCTCTGTTTCTCCATCGCCTGCTGGTTTCACTCCACCAGCCTGCAGCACAGGACCCGCCTGCACAACATAGGGAAAGTCTGCTCTAAGATCATGGGACTCCCGGTCAGAGCACTTTCATCCCTGTGTGAGCAGCAGACTCTAAGAGCAGCGTGCAGGATTCTGCAGGACCCTCTCATGCTCTTTATCCGGAGTTTGAGTGGCTCCCCTCAGGACGACGGCTCCGCTGTCCCGGCTGCAGGACACAGAGGAGGAGAGCGGACTTCCCTAATCCCCCCTCCCCCACCGCCTACCCACACTGGAACCCGTCACTCATTC